TCATAAACAGTAACATGTTAGGACTTTGTTCATCACTATGCAACTGAGAAACGTGCATTGAATTCAAAATTAAATTCAGTGCACGTTTACTAGAATGACCTTGTCAAGCAAAGATTTGGATTAGAATGACCTCTATCTTTGAATATTATTAGAATGACCTTGAAATTTTTTTAATTCCTGTGTTAACCTTATTTCATTTGAAAACAAAAAATGTATTTACGAAACTGCCATTAATGAAGCCAGAAATTTTTCACGCCAAAATTAAATAAGTCTACCATTCTGTTACGGTAGACTTATTAAACGTCTGGTAGACTTATTACGGCATACGCGATGGTAGACTTATTTATAGTTGTGGTAGATTTATAATATGTGGTAGACTTATTCGTAATACTGGTAGACTTAATTTTGGGATCGGTAGACTTATTTGTAGTAGTGGTAGATTTATAAAGTGGTCGGTAAACTTATTACGATGCAGGCAGTGGTAGACTTGTTTATAGTAGTGGTAGACTTATTGTAAGTAGTGGTAGACTTATTGTAAGTTGTGGTAGACTTATTGAGTAGTTACGGTAGACTTATGCGTTGTAGTGATAGACTTATTTATAGTTGTGGTAGATTTATTTTTGAGTGGTAGACTTATTAGTGGTTGTGGTAGATTTATTGTTGTGATTGGTAGACTTATTGATGGTTCGTGCGATGGTAGACTTATATATAGTTATGGTAGATTTATTTGTGAGTGATAGACTTATTAGTAGTAGTGGTAGACTTATTAATGGTTTGCGCGATGGTAGACTTGTTTACAGTAGTGATAGATTTATAAGATGTGGTAGACTTATTTGTAGTACTGGTAGACTTAATTTTATGATAGGTAGACTTATTTGTAGTGATGGTAGATTTAATTTTTTGATTGATAGACTTATTGATGTTTAGCGATGGTAGACTTATTTATAGTAGTGGTAGATTTATAATATCTGATAGACTTATATTTAGTGGTGGTAGACTTAATTCTGGTTTCGCTCGATGGTAGACTTGTTTAAAGTTGTGGTAGATTTATTAAATTTGATAGACTTATTTGTCTTTGTGGTAGACTTATTAAATCTTTTCAGAGTTTTACTAGAATGACCTTACTTAATTACAGTTGTGGTAGATTTATTTATAATAGTGGTAGACTTATTTATAGTAGTGGTAGACTTATAATATTTATTTATAATAGTGGTAGATTTATTCAATGAAGGACAAAATCGTAATTTACCCTTCATCTTCTCCAACACACCCAAGCTTATGTCAAACCCTAACAATGGCGGCCAACTCATTTTTAGCTCGTTTTTGCTGTGTTTTAATTTGTTTTCAACTGGGTTTAGCCTAAAACTAGTAGATCTAACATCATATATCCATTTTCTAACAAAAAATCAAAA